CAAAGAGCATCTGCTGCTCGCTGTCTTTTCATAAACAACCTGATCATAATAAGCTGACAAACCAGCCTGCATGCAGCTGCCTCTTACTTGGACTGTTGGTATATATCATCATAATAAGTGGCTTCACCCCTGTGGAACAGAGCAGAAACCAAATAAGGAAAGAAAACAAGAAATAAATAATATTTGATGTTGATAGGCAGATAATGAAGCTTTCTTTTTAAAGCAGGAAAGAACAAGCCAAAATGATTCATATTTACAAAGTCATTCTTCTACGAGGAAATAATGTAAACAAACAGTTGGATCGAATCATGAGTTTAAGGTTAGTATGGATTTTAAAACCCAAAGGAGTAAAAATTATGCATGCATTCAGTACATGAACCCGCACTTAGTTAGCCGTCTCTTGCAGGGCTGCTACATGATTACATGCTTTTGTTTTAACAATCAGAGTTTATGAAAATTATGTTATCTTCAGAACTAGATTTGGTTTTAAAGGCAAGCTCAATGTAAGCCTTCCTAAACCAGTGCTGATGAGCATGACGGGGGTCTGGTTCTTTACCACTACCATAACATAACATTTGCTTAAACTGATAAAAAAAAAAATGAGAATGTTCCTAAACACAAAAGGTGATGAAAAGCAAAATGTATTCTAACCATTTCCTTTCATGCTATATTTATAGAAAGTTTAATTTATAAACTAACTATAAAATAAATGCAATTTAAATGCAGGCTCATGTAATTTCATGACATTGGAATAATGGTATATTTGGAGAAAGGGAGACAAAAAGTCCATTTGGATTTTAAAGGCTGCAGTCCCCCCTAGCAGCTGAATCAAGATGACGTCAAAAATTTTCAGGTTTTCTTCCAGCTTCACTATGTGCACCAACAATACGAACATCAGCATGACGCTGCCATTACCATACTCGAAAAATTATATGTTCTTCTAGGTTTTGAAAATGTCTCGTCTATCGCAGTGTTTCCATTCAACTGAAATTCGAATTTTAGGCGAACTTTTAAAAGTTTCTGAAAAAGAAATTTTGTGTTGAAGCGAATTAATGCAGCACCATCAGGGCGTCACGTTGTTGTCATCAATACTACGTCATCACGCATAGCTGTAGTAAACAGGAAGTAGAAGCTGCAGTCTAGCACTGACCACAAAGCGGTAAAGGACGAATATTTATGATATGATATGACGAAATATAGATATATATAGATATATACATCTCCTCCCATCCACCTTTTCTTCCTTTGGCACCTTTTTCTTCTTTTTGACTAATTGAGCCGATCTAATGAGTACATTTCTCCACTGTGAGATCGATAAAGTCAATCAATAAATCAATCAATAATAGGTTCATCTGGGAAGACAGCTCTGTCAGCAGAAACATCTGATTGGTCATGCGATTAAAAGTTGCCACGTCAGAGCTGATTAGAAAAAACTGTTTCCATCTCCCGTTCTGCACATAAACACTTAGTTGATACTTTTTTAGCAAATTTTAGGGAGGATATTCAAATTTGGCCATTTTCAAGCTTTTCTGATGAGATATTTCAAAATGCGCATTAGAAAAACCTGATGGAAAAACCTCTATTGTGGTCAAACGACTAAATGTTTCTCTGGCTAGAACATTTTTTCTTTGTCTATTTGGTAACTTTATATCTTAATTGAGCTTGTAAATGTCAACTTCAGAGTAGGACCTTCATTCTTAGCTGACGCTCTATGCAACAGTGGTGATGCGACTCACTATGGACCGTCACAGCCGTGTTATACCAAGATTAGGACAGTCTGCCATCTTGTGTGTTGTTCCTGAACATGCTAACCAACCTCCCTTCATCTACAGAGGGGATATTTGGGGCAGATGGTTTGAATTTGGATGTTCCTACAAGACAACAGCCCTGAACTCCAAATATTTTGAAAGGCTAACATAAAGCTTCTGTTGTGGGTACGGCAAAACCCCCAACCCGAAACTGAGGAGGCAGGAAACCAACTACTTTAAATTGATTCTAGCTCTTTTCATGTAAAACTTAACAGTCAAGGAGCAACTTGAAAAAGGACATTTATCCAACACCAATCAGGGTCCTTAAATATTAAAATTTTACATGAACTAAATTGGCCCTCCTTGAAAAAAATCTACAATATTGAACTATGATCTGAGGGATTGCCTTCGAGTCAATCAGTCGATGCAGTAAACTGGTTTTCCTTAGATAGAAAACTTTGAATCAATTTGACTGTATGATCTGGTGACCTGTAAAAGTGCCTTGAGATGGCATGTGTTGTGAGTTGGCGTTATATGAATAAATTGAATTGAATTGATCGGTTTGTTATTTTAAAATTAAGCAGTGTTTTTCTGCAATCAGTCCACAGACAAATAAGAAATAAAGGTCAATATTTTTGGATTTTCTTAATCAAAAAAGAAACATTTTAAGAATGTTAGTTATTTTAAGTTTAGAATAAATATAAAGTAGAAGGTTTGGAGGCTATTCTTTGCTGACTTCAAACTGATGATTCAAAAGCAAACGTTCTGTGCAGAAGGCTAATGACCAAAGTGGAATACTAACTTGTCAAGGGCTTCCATCTGTGGAGATAGAAGGGAGAAGAAAAAACACAAAGTAAGAGAAAAAAGGTCAGAGTGTGTGTGTTTGGGGGTGTGTGTGTGTGTGTTGGGGGGGTGCAGAATGTGTCAATATGTGACAAAGACCAAACGCAGCAGAAGATATGCAGATAGCACGCGAGAAGTGACACAAGACATGCTGTTATTGCCAACAAGCTCTTAGACAGAAGGACAGCATTGTTTGTCTGTCAAATCATCTGCTGTCACTCTGACCCAGAATGAGTCAGAAGTGGCACAAAACCTGTGGCTGCGCCGCTTCTCTTGTCCTCTTTTGCTTTTAAAGGGATGCAAATTGATGTTTCCACCAAGAGAAAAACAAACATACAAGAAAAACTCCTTCCCCTAATTTCCGTGCTGCCGGAGTTTGTCAAACCTTTGTAGTACTCCGATACCCCATGAATACCGCTAACACGCCACAGCAGTGACACGTGGCGTTGGAGTGATCTCCATACAGACAAAAATGAATAAAAATCTGTCTCTTTTAGTCATCATCAGGGAAAGATCTGAAGAAAAACTATGATCGGAGAGACGGGAAAAGGACCCCCATACAATGTCTATTAGAAGTTCCGGCTAAAAAAATTCCAAACAAATCAAAATCAAAAATAACCTTATAAATATCCGGTTTCCATGCAAACTTTCAGTACATGTGTATATGTTAGATAATTGTATCTTGTTTTAAGAGTTTATTTCTTATGTGGGAGGTTAACTCTACACTATAATCCTAGTTCTAAAACTTTGTCAAGCCAAATTATCTGGGTAAGATTATTTTTAATTGTTTTGAACCTTTTTCCTTCAGATTTGGTGTTTTTATTAGAAACCTTTTAATTGCATTGTAGTTGAAAAAAAATATTGGACATTTTGCTTTGCATGATAACAAGTAATAAAAAAAACATTAAATAAATCTTTTTGTTTTTTGGCGTTGCAGAATTAGAGTGCCTTCCTGCAGTACCAACGCAACCCACTAGGGGGCCATACTGAAGATCTCTGCTTTAAAGGAAGAGAGCTATGGGAATGGAAATGAACAGATGGTCGTGTAGGTAGATGCTACAATTAAACTCATAGTTAAAATATTCATTAAAATGAATCTTATTTGTCAGATAAAAAAACTACCTCTTTAAAATATAACACCCTTCTTTAAACCCATGTTTCTCCACTAGACATTTTTGTTTTTAAAAGGTCTGATGTTTATTCTAATCCAAAAGCAGGAGGTGGAAATTTATCAGAATTAACAAAAATAAAGGCTTGAAAACATCAGTCTGAGACAAACGATTGTTGATCTTTCCAAGTCAGGAAATCCTCGCCTACTCGCCAAAACTTAGAAACAAATGTTTAAAACAACTGAAATGTTGACAAGAGAAAGCTGAACTGGGACGCAAGTTTATTTTTCTTGTCTTCAACAGACTGAAGGAGGTCAAAAGAAAAGAAAAAATAGTCAAAGCTCACCATCAGAGAATAACCGTTAAGACTGGCATCCAAGAGTCACCAATTATAGGTATAAGAGCAAGTAGATAGCCGTTTGATTGATGACAAATGTATCAATGGGGATTTTTTTTATTTTATCATTTTAAAGGATTAATGTGCGGAAAAAGAACCTTAGGCTTAGTGTTAAGTAAGGTGGAGGAGCTGTGATGCTGTGGGACCCCATTTCCTTCCCAAAGTGTCCATCAGTATTATTACTGTACACTTCAAGGCATCAGAAACTCTTAAAAATCGACATAAGTGAATACATAAATTCTGTTATCCCTGCCAAAGACATAAATATGGTCCTTCAGGCGAACATCAGCTTTCTGTCATTTCAGCGTTTCAACTAAGTCCTACAGAAAACCTGTGAAGGTTTTATTTGACTTTATAGTTTTGTTTTTATAATATCTTATAATATTTTCAACCAAAAGTCATTTTGTTTCAAAGACAAAATCCATCTGCAGTGGCTATAAAAGCAGGCCAGACAATGATGACTCATTATGGCTCTAAAATCAATAATTTAGGTTAAATTAGCTTTTTGTCTTCCTATATTCCACTGTAGGGATGTATTAAATTAAGCATATTCCAGCTCAGTGCAGCGAGTGGCTCTAAAACTCCACCGCCATCAATCTAAAGCACACTCCATGTTTGCCATCTGGTGGCAAACTTATTACGTGGAGTCGAGCAGTGAGTCAGCAGACATTAGCTGTGTTTATCTACTCTGTAATGTTTCTTACATGGTGACATAATTCTGGCAGTACACAGCAGTAGTGACTGAACTACATTCTCCTCAATCCTGAAGGAGTTGCTTTTTCTTTTTAATGAGACGCCGGAATAATGAGACTTCAAGAACACCATAAAAAAAAAAAAGGAAAAAAAAAATCACATTAGTCACATCGCAGCTCTGAGGGTAACTGCGTTCATTTTTCCACCTACCCATTCTGAGGTTGATGCATGCCGGCGGATCCCGGCGAGGGCGTAGTGTTAAGCTTAGGTGTGTAGGCCACAGGTTTAATAACGGGTCCTGAGTTGGCGCTAGCACCACCTGCTGTAAATGGCCTCGCCATCTTGTTAATGGTTGTGCTCGGGGCAAAGGAGTACTTTGGCTGCACAGAAGCCGAGGAAAGAGAGTCCTGCGTGGGTGTGAGAGAGGGAGACAATGCAGCACAGGGCACAACATGCAGTTAGACATTTGACACGCACAAAATAAAAAATAAAAATAAAAAAAAGGGGTCTGCTCTGGCACAATCCCATCAAGTTTTTCCAGCCTCTCTCAGCGAATGATTAGAGTGTATTTTAGCAGCTCTGTCAAAGCATGCAGGCTTTTCTCCACACAGACAGAAGAGGCGCTTAAGAAGTGCGGACACTGCTATTTTATTTGGATTGGCCCTCCTCCAGGAAGCAGCCAAAGTAATCTGCTGCTGCAGTTGAAAATGAAAACGCTCAAAGTGAGGATGTGTCATGTATAACCAACATCTCTCACTAATGAGATTTCTCACCGAGCATTATATGTGGAGCGCCAAACGCCTACTAAAATGGAGCATTGACTTTGTGTTTGTATGTGCCAGCTGCTTCACCGGCACAGTGTGGTTCATGACTCTGTTGTGCTGTGAAAGGTGCAATCAGGTGGTCAAAGTAGCTGCCAACAGGCTGCGCAGAGACTTCATAAATCAATACTTATTCAGGTGACAGGGATTATGCAAGGAATAAGTTAAAAACACACAAAACTAGAGTCAATTCTAAAAGCAGCATTCCCAGCACCGTGCATGGACAATGCAGGTGGATTTTAATGAATTCAAAACAAAAAGTGACACAATGCAGGAGTTAATGAGGATTACAGGAATTTTTTAATTGAAACTCTCTTCTAAACACCATTACAAACCATTCAGGGGGGCTCATGGAAAGCAGCTCCCTGTTTCAGGTGAACGTAGTCTTACCTTTCTCTCTTCATCTCCTTTAAAAGCTCTGAAGAAACAAAAACACAGAGAAAAAAACAGTAAAATGATACAATCTTTAATTTCTTTTAGTCCAGTTAAATATTTTTTTACATCACAAAATGCAGGATAACTAAAGAATTTAAAAGCTTGATTGAACAAATAGATGTGATGCCATTAGACTGATAGATCAACCAACCAACATTTTGGGACGATATTTGCATTGTTTCTTGTTTTATTCTTGGTTTTGGCCGATATGTTTGCTAATTCATTACTGTGTTCAGCTTGAAATTATGTAAAAATGATCCCATAATATGTGATCTATGGCACATCAGGCTTTTTTGATTTAAAAATTATTATTTTTGTTTAAATTAAGATTTGTTCAACTATTATATTTGGTTCATTTTTATTATGTCGATGGAAAAAGAAAACAATAACATGTTCCCAAGAAATTATACACATAAAAAATATGAATGTTTTGGTATTTCCTTTTCTTTTTCTTATAATCTTTCTAACAAATTACAGCAACCCGTTTAAAATGTATTTCCTTTATTATTACAAGTTTTTTTCCTTCATTTTAAAATCTAATATTCAAAAAGGCCAGTGATTTAAAAACTACAAATGTCATGTGGTATATTTTTTGAACACAGATATTCTTTTTTTCAAAAAAGTCATGTAATATTTGCAGCTCTAAATATAGAGTATAGAGATTAAAAAAATATCTATTAGTGAATTTCTAGATGGAATGGTAGAAACTGGTATATATAAACAGTACCAATAAAATTTGAAATACAGACCATAACATAATCGTGACAAAATATCAAGTTATAAGTCATAAGATAAACAAAAGACAACATTAAACTCTCTCAAATTTCAAAACTTTAGACAGTAAAGTGTTTTTTAATCATACAGAAAAAGGGAAAAGGGGCTCTGTAACGACATTTAAAATCTTTTAAATCCAGTTGTTAAATCTACTATCAACTATCTCCCTTAAAAAGCTTTAAAAAACATTGATCTAAAATAAATTTAGCATCATCTATATCTGTATTCTCCTCATACAGATCTGAAATAACATGAACTGCATCAACAGGAGACATGAACAATTAACCTATTAAATGTGAAACAATGAGGTTACTTAGAGTACCTAAGAAAAAGTATTTTAGGAATAAAAGATCAGAGTTGGATTAAATTTCCTATTGGTGCATTTTTAATATCCGTTTTAAGTCAGAAAAAACATTTCAAAACGTTGCAAAAAATATATATATTTTACTTGAGTGGCTTAGAAAATCCAATTTGAAGTATTAACATTATGACCAAGATCTATATTATGATACATTTCTTAATATTGGTTCATGCAATATAATTATGATATCAATAATAACAAAGTAAAAGCCTACAAAAGTAGCAACAATGCCAACAGCAGATGTCTGTAACTTAAACTTAAACGTATGACAATCATTTTTCCCATTTTTATAAAACTCCCTTAACATAACATTCAGATATATGTCCTTAAAAAAAACTAACACATAAAACTACATAAAACCAAGAACCTAACTCGGTAAAAAAACTCCATAATAGACTTTAAAGGAAATGCCATATCTGGCCGCTACAGAATAACACATATTGCTCGACAGAGATTATTGTCCAAACCTTAATTTACAGCTAAAACAACACTTCAAATCAAAGATTTAACAGATTTAGAGATTTTTAATAAACCTAGTTCTGTAACAAAACTACCGTCCCAATTTCTATGCAACAAAAAGCTTTAACCAGGTTAAACCGCCGTTATTGTTTTAAGCTCGAGTCACTCAGCACCCTCCAAATGGCACTTCCTGTGACAATCAGGAATGAGCAACAGTTCCCGTCATTACCTGCTCAACCACTGAGGGCACAGAGCTAAAGAAAGGATGACAACAGTGCAGAAACGAACAGAAAAGGTCTGGCCCTCTGAAGGCCACAATCTGATGAGTCAAACGTTATGAGGGAAACCAGGAATGTGGCTGTTTATTCTGGCTCAGAGATATGTCCGTGATTAAAACACTGTTTCTTGGAAGAAATTGGTTTTTCCCCAGCTGACTCTGACCCGTGTTGGATCCGAAAGTGAAACCTGCATGAGATCATCCCCCCCCACTATCTCATTTCACGGATCACTAATTTTAGTTGATGCATACTTGGCTTTCAGGCTGATGTTAGACAAAATCTGAAGTTTTACCGCAAACAACTCTCCAGTGAAACCGTAATCAACCCGGCTTTTATCATAATTAATCCAACCACATCCTGATGAGTTGATCCCAGACGCCTAGAAGAATGGACATAAGGTTCCTTTTCTCTGTTGCAGCCCTCAAGAACCTAAGTTTAAACCATAACCGCAAAACGATCATTGGCACTGAAGAAAAAGGAAAGTCTAAAGTAAACAACAGACTATATCTCATCACCATGCAGCTGTCCTCCTCTCTAGACATAAAACAACAGTGGAGAAGAGCCAAGATGCAAATAAATAGAAAAACTGACAACGGTTCTGCTCTGAAAACAACATTTGCTTTGCTTTTAACATAATAACAAGTCTGGGCAAGCTCAAGAGATGAAACTGGGGATTTATAAGAGGAGAATCACTGGTGCAAAAAATGACAGGAGGAAGATTGTGAAATGTTTACAGAAACTGGACTCCCAAAGGAGATGAAAGATAGGGGCGCAAACCACAAAGTGAAGCAGAAATATAGCTGGTTGAAAGGTAACTTATTCAGATTGATTAAGATTTGAACCCTTTTTTCACTTTAAGTGAAGATTAAAACAGAGAAGAAATAAATAAAACACTAAGTGTCACATTAACATAGACTTTCTGAAGTGGGATAGAATTAGGTTTTCTTTTTAGAAAAATGGAGCTCCACAAAAATCTAATGCAGCTTTATTATTCATACTCTCTTGCAAAAAATCCAAGGCTTTCTTAACCTTTATCACATCTATATTTAATATTTCCTTTTATGCCAGAACTTAAACCAATTAATATTGTACTTTTTCCCCCATTGCTCCTCTAACAGGGTATTTGGTAGGTTAAGGCTGGAGATGCAAGAAGAAATGAACTGGTTACTGGAATTCAGAGATAAGACATGTATGCACAACACTACTTGGTATGAATTCACTGAGGGAGGAAGACGCAAAGTAAGCTGATCTCGGTATCAGCGGGCTATTTTTAAAAAATCAGAGAGGGTGGTTCATTGCTGGTATCATAAGAGAGAACAAGAATTTAAATAGGTAACAGAAAGGACAAATGGAGTAGATCAGGATAGAAAAGGAAAGGATAGAAAGCATAAATGTTTTTTATACTTGCATATACATATTGTATTTTCACCCCTGGGCCCAATTAAGGGGCAACAAGTAGCAATTATTTTGCTAATACCGGTAGTCTAATCAGTTGTCAATTTGTTGGATTTGTAATTAAATAATTTTGAAATTTTATAATTTTTAAACTTAATTTAAGTTAAAATTATAGTTTTCTATAAAATTAGAATTAGAACTCAAGAAAAACTGATAAATTCAGCTGTAAAAGGTAAGAGTATTTTTTTTATTCGTTTAAAAAAAAAAAGGAGAAAACTGGGATCCTATCTCAATATCACTGAAGTTATCAACTTATGTTTTTAAATAATTAGTAAAACAGAATTTTTTAAAGAAAAAAATTAAATGGATCCAAAGGACCTATCAGAAACCATGTCTGTTCCAGCGCATATCATCATTAGAATTTCTCCTAGTATTCTGTCTTTAGTACAGGGGCCACAACAGGGGCAAGGACATGATCTACAGGGGCACTGGCCCCAGTTGGCCCCTGTCTAGAACTGCTCCTGTTCCAAACAAAAACAATGTTTTAGGTGAAGTCCATTTTTAGATATAAAATGTGGGAAACCAAACACAACCTTCAAAAGGAGATCTATTTCCTCCATATTGATGCCTTCTACGTCTCTTCCTTTTAACTTTTCAGGTAAGGTAGAAGGATCTGTATCATATAAAATTGATAGTTGCCTGGATAGTGAGAAATGATACCCACAAAACAGAAACTTCTCTTAAACTATTCAATAAGATTGGGGCTCTGCCTTGTAGAAAAGAACAGAAATACCCTGAAGCTGTTCTCACAAACTAAGTCTACAAAGGAGACATGGAACAATTTTAAAGCAGAGTCTCCTGCCAGGCAACAATCAGGTGAACGAGATAACAAAGCTTTACTCCTATTACTTATGAGGATCAAAAAAATCAAAACGCGTCCCGCGGCAGCACCCAGCTCAGCTCTATTACTCCAGCTCGATATCTTCTTTTACAGTGAAGGTGCTTGTGCCTTGAATGATTACATTTCATCTTTTAATGAAACAAAATCTTTTTTTTTTCTCCTATAATAAAGCTGCTAATTAAATACTATTTTATAATCCTGACACGTGATCAAGAATTTCTAGCAACACTTATATGAGATGCCTATTTAGTACTGATTAAAAGACAATTGACGCCGATGCTTTAGCATGAAGAAAGTTTCCGTTCTTAAGTTTTAAAGCTAACGCAAAGAACATAATGGTTTGTCTGAGCTGCGACCAGAGAACATGCTGAGCATCCATTCAAGTCTACTTTCACAGGCTGGATTTGCCCCCTACTAATTTGTCTGGTTTTTGTCTCCACCATACACCTAAACATATCATATCGAAGAAGAACAGAACCCTGTGTAATAAATTATTTTATTTGTTAACTGTAAAGGAAATCTTCAGCCTTTCTAAATCAAGTGAGTAGAAAAGAACCTACCTGACTCATCTGTACTTTATCTTTATCTATAAACTTTTGAACAACAAGAAAAAGGCAGAAATCTCAAAAAACAAATTACAATTTCCCAATTTATACAAATTGAAGAACATATTAGAAACAAAGTCACTGAAATCTTGTTAAAAACGTATTTCTCAATGATTGGGACTCCAGTGAACCACACTGATCTTTTCCAGGCTTATCTACCTATATTAATCCAAGAGTGAATGGATAACTGAGAGCTTCAATCCAGAACACAATGTAAAATCTACCACTGACTTTTTAATCCCTCTCCACCCGAAACTCCCTCTTGTATCAGAGATCTGATTGTTCCTTATGTTCCTAACAGAGCACTTCGCTTTCAATCTGCAGGTTTACTAGTGGTTCCTTGAAATTCTAAAAGTAGAATGGGAGGCAGATCTTTATCAGGCTCCTCTCCAATTAAACCAACTACCAGTTTTAGTCCATGAGGCAGATACCCTGTCTACTTTTAAGGCAAGGCTTAAAACTTTCCTTTTTAATCAAACTTATAGTAAGAGTAACTCAGGTGATCCTGAGCTATCTCTATAGTTATGCTGCTATAGGGTTAGACTGCTGGAGGACATAGGGACCATCGTTCTATCTTTATTCTCCATTGCTGCATTGTTTGTTCCACCCATTTATGTTCTATCTGCTTTTTCTCACCATAGTAGCTTCACCTGGTCTGATTCTGCTCTGATTTGACACCAACCTAGAGGGAAATATTAGCAGGGCTGTCGCCATCAACACCTTCAGTTATTGATGGGCAACAGTGGCGTTGGATGCAGCCCTGAAATCGAAGGATTGACGGTTCAAGCCCCGGCTCCGACTTTCATTGTCGTTGGGTTCTTGGGCAAGACACTTCACCTGCATTGTCTACTGATGGTGGTCAGAGGGCCCGGTGGCGCGAGCCCCAGGGCAGCTGTGGCTACAATGTAGCTTGCCACCATCAGTCTGTGCATGAATGGGTGAATGGATGTAGTGTAAAGTGCTTTGGTCAGTTCTCCTGACTTGAAAAAGCGCTATATAAGTACTGCCATTTACCATTGATGATATAGCTGAGCCTGTTTCTTCAGTGCTTAGTCCCATTTCTCTCCTAGACATAGCTATGAGCTCAATATAAAATACTGTGAGGACTGATAGGAGATTTTGTAACTGAATTACATCTGAACTAAAACTAAGACAGAGGGAAATCTTACTGACAGTCAGTAGTGTAATAGTATGGGGCTTCTTTAGCAACCCAGGCAACATGCTGTAATCAATCGAACCTGTTCATTAGTGCAGTGTTTTTCTAGGTGGGGGCCAGAGTCCCCAGGGAAGCCACCAGGGGGCGATTGGAAAACTCCTCAATTTATTAACACTTTCAAAAACACATTTATTTAACAATTTTCCACAACAATATTATAAAATGTAACTTGCAATAATATGACAGACTTAGGTGACAAAACTGGTATTTAAGGCTTTAGGGACATCTTTTTAGGGAAACATTATTTCATCTTGGCTAAGAGGCCATTGATATTATACTCTCCTTTTGCAGCAACCTAATAGTTCTAGTCTGTTCAACTAAAACAAAACAGAGCAAGTTTGCACTTGGACAATGACCACACACATAATCAAGCTTTGATTTCTTTTGTTTTGCTCTTATCATCAATAGATTAAAGAAATAGTGCAGTGACAAAAAAAAATGTAGGTTAATATTCATATGCTAAACAAATTATTTAACAGTAAAACACATAAAAACAATATTCAAAGTTAATTTTCTGTGTTTGGAGCAAATACAGGGATAATTTGGATGCCGCTGGTCTAGCAGACAATCTTCAAGGACATTGTCTAGCCATATGTTGGAGACATTAGCATGAAGAGGAAGTAGGACCACGACCCAAAGCACACCATTAGGTCCATCTCTGGGGGGCTTGAATAGAGAGGTCAACTTATAGTCCGGACTAATTAAGGATTTAGAAACAGTTCTTTCATGCTCACAAACCCCCTAAGTTTATTTTTAAAGAAAGCTGTGTTGGTTTGGATAGTTTTTTTTTTTTTTATGAATAATTTTGATTATTTAAAAAATGAAACTGCCATAAAAAAAAAAAAGGTTACTATTATAAGTTTTTTTTTTCCCTTATAGTTTATTTGCTAATTATCTCAAACTTTTAAGAGTGACAGATAAAACGGATGATACTTTTTTGGCAACAATACTACAACGTACACATAGTTCTAGAGAATTGACAAGCGTACAAAACAGCGTCACACTTTTCTAATAATTTGTCTCATTTTGTTGCACATTTTACTGTATTTCTCATTAAAATTAATTTTCCATCAGTAGTTTTATTTTTTGATTTATCTATTTTTCCAAAAACAAAGTGTTTTGTTATGAACACTTTGATCTTTAGATGATATAGCACTGAAATACAAATAAAGCTGCAGCTAAAACCGAGCTAGACCTTGGTTAAATACATGGTGTCCTCATTTGTCTGTATGAAAATGAGTGAGGCTGTGAGCTCCGTGCCGGTTCCTGCTGCTCTGAGCATGGGATCAAATTAACCCCTTATTGCATCACGCGCTGCAAAACGACCTACCTGCTGAGGGTTAGGGTGAGGGAGTCTGTTGCTGCTCTAATCTTGTTTTGTGCTTCCACATGGGTCATATCCTCTGCGTTGGCGTCGCAGATGGAGACCACCCAGTCGCCCACCCCGACTCCGGCCTGGGCTGCTTTTCCACCCGGTGTAAGCTGAAGAGAAACAAGAAATCAGTTCCAGACGTTTATAAGAGCAGGTATACCAGAAAAGAAAGTGATCATTCAGGACAAAAAGCACATTCATGGAGACTAAATTAGAGGTGCAAAGATCACATTTTCACTTTAAAAATACACACCGTGCTCCACATAAACACATACTGAATGTAAAAGTCACATCATGTTTTTATATATCAAAAATATGATTATAGCTTTAAAGGGACATCCAGCAGATTAAAACTACAGCTTCGGTTATTAGCATTAAACCATAGGTTGCCAAAACAGATTATTTTGACATTAGTTTAATGATGCGTTAACACCAAATTGTGTGTCAAGGGGAAGCAAGTTAACACAGAATATCTATGCGAGATTAGCATTAATGTGCATCAAGAGCTCCTGCAGCTCATATCGACCGTCTGGCACAGTACATCTTAAAGAGATTCAAGCAGCACAATTGAAGCTGAAACAATAAATCGGATTCATCGTTATTATAGAGTGCAGTTCTAGCAACAGCAAAAATACTAATCAGAACCCTCAAGCTACTGGGCCTCTGGTAGAGGACCTGAGCTTGGAACAAAAAAGGGGGAAGACCACCCGCGATGGGTGAGGAAGAGTATTTTTTTTTTAATATTATATATACTTCCATTTCCTTATATATACAAGGAAATATAAATATTTTTAGAGCTGTACTGAACGAAATTTTGTTTTTGTATTCACCCTGTGTGAACAAAATGACAATAAAGTTTGTCCATTATCCATCCATCCATCATCTGACACGCTTTATCGCGAGTGGGGTCACGAAGGGTGCTGGTTCCTACCTCCAGCTGTCTAAGGGCGAGAGGCGGGGTACACCCTGGACAGGTCGCCAGTCCATCGCAGGGCAAAACAGAGATAAACAGGACAAACAACCATTCACACTCACACCTAAGAATTTAGAGAAGCCAATTAACCTAACAGTCATGTTTTTGGACTGTGAGAGGAAGCAGGAATACCCGGAGAGAACCCACGCATGTGCAGGGAGAACATGAAAACTCCATGCAGAAAGACCCTGGGCCAGGAATCGAACCCAGAACCTTCTTGCTGCCAACGAGCAGCCCCAATAAAGTTTGTCTCTCTCTCATATCTATATCTATATCCAGGGACGTGGCTAGACCTATTTTAGGGTGGCTGAAGTCATCCCTTCGTTGGTATTAGCCACCCCATAATTATTTTGCGATTTTTATTGTTATTTTTTTATTGATTGATTTTTTTTCCATATAACCCCAAACAATTGCAGTAAAGCACTGAAAACGAGCCACCAAGAAGGCAAGTTAATCTGAAGATAAGTTCCTGTTAGTTTATTTACAAACACAATTATTTATACAATTATTAATATCGTTAGGATATTCATTTCCTTCATTGGCTCCGCGTCCAGCGTCACGTCACGTGGTACACGGCCATCAACTGGACCATAGCAGCCCTTTGAATCTCCACACAGTCATCGAGCTTGATTAGGAAAGTTATGGTTGCGTGCAGATACATACGGTGAGTTTGCCATTTGATGTCAGCGGTTTACATTTTCTTCACTTTACCTGGAGTGAGGAAAGAGACAATATAGGCCTAATAGCTTGTCTGATTCAGTAGGAATTACGTTACCATGGTGAACAAAGTCAGTGGTGTGGGAAAACACGATGTTGTTGTAGCCTACTAGCATCATTATAATAGTTTTGTCACAGGAGCAGTGATGGGCAGTAGCACCGCTACATGTAGCGAAGCTATTAGTTTAACTACATTTTCAAGTAGCTTGACCGTAGCGTCGCTGCTTTATTTATCAAGTAACTTTCCTGTAGCGACGTTATTGTTTTGATCAAGTAGCGACGTAGCGTCCACAAACGCTACAAAATCCAGGGCAAAACTAAGAAATGAAACCAGGTTTTCTATTTCTAAACAACAATCAGCCACAAAACTACTGTAAATAGCAGTTTCAGCTGACGCTTTATAAGTGGCGTAGTAGCACAGGCACACTCCGTAGGGTTAAACAAGCGCACCTTTTCCGAGGCTGTCGTTCTATTGGCTGGAAAGGTTGCTAGGCAACGATCCAACTGCAGTCTGAGAGAGCAAAACAAATCCGCAAGCAGAGCGTAACTGAGACCCGTGCAGAGCGGAGATGGAGGCAAGCGAGAGGAAAAAATATCTGTGATAATATAGAAAATATCTGTTTAAATCTGAGAGAAGAAACAAAGATTTTTGAGAGAAGAGAAAATATTTGAGAGAGAGCGCATGTTTTGAGTGTGAGCATTATAAGTTTTGAGTGCAAGAAGATGAAATTCTTTTCTCTAATTGAAGTTATGTGCTCTTGCATTATGGCAGGATAATTCTCCCATATCTATGTGCCACCAGTCTGATAGGGCGACACTGTGTGATATGGTAGTGCTTCCTTGGGTTGACTATAGTTCTAAGTTGTACGTTTCATATACTGTTGATTTTGTGTTTTCATTAATACATTGTACTTAAAAATACTTCCTTTATTTGCATTAAAACTTTGTCAGACTGATGTGAAAAAGTCTCAAGGATATCCTTCTTTGCAATGATGCTATTGCCTATTGCCTACTGTCCATTTATGCAACTTGTATTTTGTGGTTAAACTTTAGATTAAGCAGAAATCTATCAAAGATAATGCTGCATTTATTGTTAAGTTCCTCACATATATGTGTTTCTCTCTGTGCCAGGTGTAGAGAAAGACATGCCAAAGTCCAGGTCACACACACACACCAAGCACACACACAGAAACAGGGTTATTGCAAAGCAGACAGGGGTTCCTGACAGGTTGTGGGTGCAGGGGAGATGGGGAAAGATGAATGGCCAGGTTAAGGGTTTATGAAGATGTTGGGAGTCTGTTGGTTAGACAACTGTCTTCTGTAGAAGGTTTCCATTATGATGAGTGGCGAACCACTTGCCTTCTTCCATTTATGCAGTAATGCATGGCACCTACCATTTACTCTTTGTAATTTAGCACATTTTAACTGGTGTAGTTTAGTTGGTGAAGTAGCATTAGTGAGGGAAGTGTTTCCCAGGTATGTTGCTCTTAAAATAATGAATTTATAGACAGCGCCTTAGAAAGTGCACTGAAAAAATTCAATATCTTACCTAGGGGCTAAGCCACCCATGTCTCTCAAACCTAGTGACGGCCCTGTCTATATCTATTTATCTCTCCATAGAGAGATAGATAAGACAGATATTATAATTATTATTATATTAATATTATAACTGCATTTATTACTATTTCTGGACACTATTATTCGTCATCTGTGGGTATAGGATCCTTGGTACTTAAGTTAGTGCCTTTCATCATTAAGAAGCATTTAAGAACCTGAAATTCAGACTATCAATATAACATTTTTCCTTGCATCAGCCGATACCTGCAGATGTTTTTTCATTCATTAGTGTGGTTTCCTCAAGGCGGCTAATCACTTTCCACTGCTGTTCATAGAGGGAAGAAGTGAATATACGCATTTTTAAGTGGTTAAAAACTGAATGTACTAGGGTATAAAATTGAAAAAAAAAAAAAAATGTATATATATATATATATATATATATATATATATATATATATATATATATATATATATATATATATATACAGTGTTGTGCCTGAACGCGTTCATTGAACGAAAGTTCATGAACTCGTTCATATTTTGGGCGAACGTGAACTGAACGTACTGCATTATTACCTGATGAACGTTATTGTGAACTCGTTCATTCTGGTGTCTGTGAACGGCACGCTCTCTCAGTTCAGCTCCGTTCAATAGGTTGCCAGATTTCTATAGAGTCCTCCAGGCGAAACCCTGGCTAAATCAAACCGTAAACAGGCCTTAATAGGTAGCGGGAAAAACACCCAATCTGGCAACACCAGCTACCAGTGTCGTAGCCTACAGCCGCGTGCGTCATCAAAACAAAATGCAGCATGGAAGATACAGCAGCATGTAGGCTACCGTGGAGGCGACAAAGCAGCAGTATGATCACTTAAAACAGGTTTATGACCAGGTGGTCGGTGAGGATGATGGCAACAAGTTTGCCCGCCGGCTTTCAGTAAAAAAATCCGCACTTCAGTAACCTTAAATTCCTACCTCAGCCTGGTCCCTCAGTTTGTGTTAGTAAAATCTTCTTGAGCGGAGGTCTTCAACAGGGGATCCGCGACCCCTAGGGGGTCTACGGAGGTACTGCACGAGGGTCTGCATGGTTAGTTGATATTTTTATATTACCCCCCTGCAATTTTTTCCCCCACTAATTGAAATGTCTTTAAATACTCATTAACATGAAATCAACACACTGTAGTAAACAGATAAATGGAGACAAAAGATGTCTTTCAGTCATCAATGCTCACATTCAGCGACACACAGGAGCTCTTTCAAGCTGGGCACCGTTTCATTCACAACAACCAGGAATCAGAATCAGAAAAACTTTAATAATCCCAGGGAGAAATTAATTTCTTTACATTACTCCATCTGTAATAGAGTGACTATAGGACACAATTTCATACAATATATATAGTTAGGGGGTCCCCGCTCCATCTCGCCATCAGTTTGGGGGTCCTTGGTCTGGAAAACATAGAAGACCCCTGTTCTTGAGGGTTTTACTATCCATGTAACTTGTTTGTTAAACCTGCCTGGTATAATTTTCTAGGATTCCAGTATTCCTTTTTAGTATGTATTGAAATGGAATTTCAAATGGAAAAAATTATAAAAAAAAAAAAAAAAAACATTTGCACCTTAAAGACTACTTTCCTATTTTTCTTTTAATAATTACTCATAAAAAAGACCATTCAAGCAGCACATTTTTCCTGATGTTTTTGAGAATATACTGTAGGGGTGAAAGCTGCAGCTGCTACTAGTGTGAAGTGAATGGACAGCATCAAAGCGTTAAAGCAACAATGGGGAAATGCTGTCCCCTCAATGCTAATGTAAACCCTGGTTGGATAAGGATTCAAAACTGGATATGAAGATGAAATCTGACGCACA